TATTTTTCAATTTAAACGTGTTTTAACGAAGTTATAAGCGATTTAAGATTTTAATAAAAAAAATCGATTTTTGAAGGGAAATATGGGTGATCACAAAATAAGCTTATTTTTCAATTTAAACGTGTTTTAACGAAGTTATAAGTGATTTAAGATTTCGATCAAAAAATCGAATTTTGATGGGAAATATGGGTGATCACAAAATAAGCTTATTTTTCAATTTAAACGTGTTTTAACGAAGTTATAAGCGATTTAAGATTTCGATCAAAAAATCGATTTTTGAAGGGAAATATGGGTGATCACAAAATAAGCTTATTTTTCAATTTAAACGTGTTTTAACGAAGTTATAAGCGATTTTATGTTTTCGACCAAAATATCGAATTTTGAGGGGAAATATGGGTGATCACAAAATAAGCTTATTTTTCAATTTAAACTTGTTTTAACGAAGTTATAAGCGATTTAAGATTTCTATCAAAAATTCGATTTTTTAAGGGAAATATGGGTGATCACGAAATAAGCTTATTTTTCAATTTAAACGTGTTTTAACGAAGTTATAAGCGATTTTATGTTTTCGACCAAAATATCGAATTTTGAGGGGAAATATGGGTGATCACAAAATAAGCTTATTTTTCAATTTAAACTTGTTTTAACGAAGTTATAAGCGATTTAAGATTTCTATCAAAAATTCGATTTTTTAAGGGAAATATGGGTGATCACGAAATAAGCTTATTTTTCAATTTAAATGTGTTTTAACGAAGTTATAAGCGATTTAAGATTTCGATCAAAAAATCGATTTTTAAAGGGAAATATGGGTGATCACAAAAAGAAGCTTATTTTTCAATTTAAACGTGTTTTAACGAAGTTATAAGCGATTTAAGATTTCGATCAAAAATCGATTTTTAAAGGAAAATATGGGTGATCACAAAATAAGCTTATTTTTCAATTTAAACGTGTTTTAACGAAGTTATAAGTGATTTTATGTTTTCGACCAAAAAATCGGTATTTGAGGGGAAATATATACAAAATAAGCTTATTTTTCAATTTAAACGTGTTTTAACGAAGTTATAAGTGATTTAAGATTTCGATCAAAAAATCGATTTTTGAGAGGAAATATGTGTGATCACAAAATAAGCTTATTTTTCAATTTAAACGTGTTTTAACGAAGTTATAAGCGATTTAAGATTTCTATCAAAAATTCGATTTTTTAAGAGAAATGTGGGTGATCACGAAATAAGCTTATTTTTCAATTTAAATGTGTTTTAACGAAGTAATAAGCGATTTAAGATTTCGATCAAAAAATCGATTTTTAAAGGAAAATATGTGTGATCACAATATAAGCTTATTTTTCAATTTAAACGTGTTTTAACGAAGTTATAAGCGATTTAAGATTTTGATAAAAAAAATCGATTTTTGAAAGGAAATATGGGTGATCACAAAATAAGCTTATTTTTCAATTTAAACGTGTTTTAACGAAGTTATAAGCGATTATATGTTTTCGACCAAAATATCGATTTTTGAAGGGAAATATGGGTGATCACGAAATAAGCTTATTTTTCAATTTAAACGTGTTTTAACGAAGTTATAAGTGATTTAAGATTTCGATCAAAAAATCGATTTTTGAAGGGAAATATGGGTGATCACAAAATAAACTTATTTTGCAATGTATACGTGTTTTAACGAAGTTATAATTGATTTTATGTTCTCGACCAAAAAATCGATTTTTGAAGGGAAATATGGGTGATCACGAAATAAGCTTATTTTTCAATTTAAACGTGTTTTAACGAAGTTATAAGCGATTTAAGATTTCGATCAAAAAATTGATTTTTGAAGGGAAATATGGGTGATCACGAAATAAGCTTATTTTTCAATTTAAACGTGTTTTAACGAAGTTATAAGCGATTTAAGATTTCGACCAAAAAATCGATTTTTGAGGGAAAATATGGGTGATCACAAAATAAGCTTATTTTTTAATTTAAACGTGTTTTAAAGAAGTTATAAGCGATTTAAGATTTCGATCAAAAAATCGATTTTTAAAGGAAAATATGGGTGATCACAAAATAAGCTTAGACTATGGATCTGACCATAGACTATGGATCTGACCATAGACTAGACTATGGACCAAACTGTAGACTAGAGATCAGACTATAGGCCTGGCTATAGACTAAACTATAAACCAAATGATAAATCAGACTATAGACCAGATTATAGATCAGACTGTAGTCCAGACTATAGACCAGACTGTAGCCCAAACTATATGTCAGACTATAGAGCATAAACCATACTATAGTCCGGACTATAGCCCAAACTATAGATCATACTATATTCCAGACTGTAGGCCAGACAGTAAACCAGAATATGGATCTGTCTATAGCCTAGACTATAGACTAAATTAGGCCAGAGATCGGACAATAACTAGACGGTAAACCAGACTATAAACGAGACTATAAACCAGATAACAAAGCAGGCTAGAGATCAGACTATAGACCAAATAATAGACCAGACTATAGACCCGACAATAAAATTGACTATAGACCAGACCATAGACCGGAATATATGTAGGCCAGACTAAAGACCAGACTATAAACAATACTTAGTTCATGCTATAGTATCGCCAACTTTAAATTTGCAATTCTTTTAGAAATGGTGTAATCTAACAAACAATTTATAATGCAGTTAGTTACATGCAGTTTTTTTGTCTTTTAAACCAGTTTGAATTTCTTAACCATTTGTATTTATTATTTATTCAATTTGTTTATTATTTCACATTAGTTTTTTTACTTAATATATTATTTTAAATACCAACCTCTAAGTAGTGACTGGATTTTTTTTCAATATTTATATGTATATTTAAACGGTGGCGTTGCCTTTTACAATTATAGTTATAGACAATTTTATTACAATTTTTTTTTTTGTAATTTTATTTACTAACTTGGCGTAAAGTCACATTTTGATTAGTTTTAAACACATCACTGTCATTCCTTAACATTACAATTTAGTAACTAACGTGCGTCATTGTACTTACCAATCTTTCTCTAATATTTATGTTTATGCGTTTAAGACTTTAATAATTGTTTACATGTACTGCAATATAGACAGACATATTTGTGTTTTTTTTTTTCTTAAGAAATTGAAAAGCGTGTAGACCATTAAATCATCGAATAATTTTTTTATTTGTTAATATTCAGTACATGTCTAGGATAGTGTTGCGTGTTGTTGTTATTTTTAGTTTGCAGTAGCTTTTCAATCTAGTTTAATTGATTATAGAGTTCATTGATTCATGTTGGACTCAGTCATGTTGAATGACTTTTAGTTAGAAATTATAAATTTTAACTGTTTTTTTTAATCGTAGTAATTATATTTATCTGTTTTATGGAAAGTTAAACAAACAGATACTTTATTACTTATAAAATAATTAATCGATTCTTTTGATTTGTTGCCTTTTGCTTATAATTCGGATTATAAGTTATGATATATCTTAGATTAAAGATTACAAGAATTACGGCTAGGCTTCAGTCCAGAATATTGACTAGGCAATAACTTAATCTAATCTATAGACTACTCTATAGGTTATGCCAGAGATTAGGCTATAGTCAATAAAATGGTCCAGACTGTAGACTCATTTATAGTCTAGACTATGAAACTTATAGTACAGACTATAGACTAGTTTATAGTCCAGACCAGAGACTAGACTACATTACAGTCTATTGAATAATTTATTGTCCAATCTATAGACCAGTTTAAGGAACATACTATGGTTAATTTCTAATACAGACTTTAAACAAGTTTATAGTCCAGATTATAATTTATAATACAGACTATAGACTAGTTTAAAATCTAAAGTAGAATATATACTAGACTATAATCCTGACTATTAACTAAGTTATAGTCCAGTCTATAAACTTATTATAATATAGACTATAGTCTATGTTATAGTCTAGACCGTAATCTAAATTATAGCGCAGACTATACACTAGTTTATAGTCCAGACTATGGATTAGTTTATATTATATATGGACTAGTTTATAGTCCAGACTATAGTCCATTTTATTGGCTTAGTCTAGTCCAGTTTTCTAGTCAATAACAGAATATCAAACAAAATCTGTAAAGAGTCTAGACTATAAATTAGTTTAAAGAGCAATCTATGGACTAGTTTACACTCCACTCTAGAGTCCAGGGTATAGTCTGGTTTATAGTCCAGACTAAGGACTAAAATATACACCAGACTATAGACTAATTTGAAGTATAGACTGTAATCTAACTTATTGCCAAAATTACAGACTAGTTTATAGTCCAGACTATGGACTAGTTTATAGACTATATATAGACTAGACTATAATCCAGGCTGTTGGCTCATTTAAAATCCATACTAGTTTCCTAGTGACTAACAGAATATCAAACAAAATCTGTACCGTTTCCGGACTATAAATTAGTTTAAAGTCCATTCTATAGTCCTGTCTATAGTAGGGTTTATAGTCCAGTCTAAGCACTAATCTCTATAAACATATTAATAATATAGATTGTAATCTTACTAATAATTCAGACTACTATTGTGGACTTGTTTATAGTCCAGGCTACAGTTCAGTTTATAGTAATCTAACTTTTTCTCCAGACCATAAACTGGTTTATAGTCCAGACTGTTGACTAGACTGATTAGTCCACAAACAGTACTATTGACTAATTTATAATCCTGTTTGTGGATTAATTTTTGTTTATTTATAGTCCAGCCTATATTCTAATTTATATTCTAGACTATATTCTAGTTTATAGTTCAGACTATAGACTATAATCCGTTATCTAGTTTATAGTGCAATCTATGGACTAATTTATGGTCCTAAAGACAAATTTAAAGTCTAAACTTTAATCGAATTAAAAGTTCAGACTATAGTTGTCTTTATAGTTCATATTATGGACTAGGCTATAACTATTAAATAAAACTACATAATTCGGTTTACAAAATTATGCCTCTAAAATAATTTATTTAACTCAAAGCTGTATTAATTAGTACACACTATAGCATCTAAGCAATTGAATCTAAAATTGTGCCGCAAATATTTAAAACTTAACTACGAATAATACTACCTGATTTTTTATATCACATACAAACATATAGTTAATTCATAAATTTCATATAACTAAAACAAATTCCATAAAATCCAACATTTACTTCTTCTTTCTTAAATGAGGACCCTCACTGCTAGATCTCTTGGCCGGCAAACGCTGAGCACGTAAAGGAGTTTTCTCCTTATCACCATTGACTTTATCAGGAGACTGAAAATATAAAAAATTTAAAAAAATATATTATTATTTAAAGCCTTTTTATTTAACACAAATATTTATTTTTTCAGGAATTTTATATAGATCGCAATAGTCTGGCCTCGGTACCCTCGAATTCTTTAAATGGTCCCACCGCTTTGAGACATTTATCCTTAAGGCATAACTACATAAGTAAGTGAAATATTAAATAGTTATTTTTAATTATAATTTAAAAAATGTTTTTTTTATCTTTAGCTTCTTTACGCTATGAATCATTTATTGCCCAGCCCCAATTGGAGATTATCGATTTACGCTATAATGAAATCAAAACCATTGAGGGTTTAACCTTTAAGGGTTTGCGTAAGATACGCGAAATCAAATTAGCCGGCAATCGTATAACGAACTTAAACAGTGATGTCTTTGAAAATCTACCCACTTTACATAAATTAGATTTATCCGAGAATTTTATACAACAATTTCCCACGGTATCTTTAAGACCCATAATTAATTTGAAGTCATTGAATTTATCCTCGAATATGTTGCAGGTATGTGGTGTTTATTAAAGATTAAAGAAGATTTTAAATTAATATTTATTTTATAATTTACAGCGTTTGGATTATACTCATATGGAAGTGGTGAAATCGTTGGAAACTTTGGATTTAAGTCGCAATGGTATTACCACAATACCACCGGGCACTTTCCGTGATTTGACAAATTTGAAATATTTAGATTTGAGTTTGAACTCTTTAAGAACGGTTAGTAAAAACTATTATAATGGTTTTTAATAACTTTAATTGATTTTTATATATCTTTATCTTTCTTTAGATCGAAGATGATGCTCTCGAGGGCTTGGAAAATCTTCAAACCTTAATCATACGTGATAATAACATTTTACTTATACCCGGCAGTGCCTTGGGTCGTTTATCCAACTTAAATACTTTATATTTGGACTTTAATCGTGTGGCCGCTTTATCCGCCGAAATCTTAGGATCCATACAAGCTTCCGATATCACCACACTCTCTTTGGCTCGCAATGTTATACGTGAATTGCCTGCGGGTAGTTTCCAAATGTTTAGCAATTTAAGATCTTTAGATCTGTCAGGCAACTCATTGGCTGTTATAAATGCCGATATATTTATGGGTTTGGAAACCTCACTAAATGAATTGAAATTGGGACAAAATCGTATAACCGGTTTGGGCAATATACCCTTGGCTTTAACTGAGTTAAGAAGTTTGGATTTAAGTTACAATAACTTGGCAGAATTACCCACTAACATCTTGCAGGGTTTGGAGAATTTACAGTATTTAAATTTAAGTGGTAATCATCATTTGGCTCCCATACCAGCGGCCTTAATACGTCCTTTATCACGTCTACAAATTGTGGATTTCAGTTTTTGCTCTTTAAAACAATTATCGGGAGATCTGTTTGCCACTTTGCAAGATTTGAAAATGATTTACTTGAACGATAACAATATACAGGAAATAAATGATGGCAGTTTTGTGGACTTGTGGAATATCACCACCATAGATTTGTCTAATAACCAAATCACTTCCATCAGACCGGGAGCTTTTGTTAATGTCATGCATTTGAAAAAGCTAAATTTGAGAGGAAATCAATTGTCTGCTTTTAAGGGAGAATTCTTTAATACCGGTACCGGCATAGAGGAATTGGATATATCAAACAACCACTTAAGCTATCTCTTCCCCTCCTCTTTCCGCATACATCCACGTCTTAGAGTTATTATGGCGGCTAACAACAAATTCAGTTTCTTCCCAGCGGAGCTAATATCCACTTTACAATATTTGGAATATATTGACTTGTCACAGAATCAGTTGAAATCTATAGAAGAGTTGGATTTTGCCCGCTTACCCCGTTTAAGAGTATTAAAGGTGGCCGATAACCAATTGGACATGTTAAGTGAAATGGCTTTCCACAATTCCACTCAACTACAAGTATTGGATTTATCCAATAATGCCTTAGATCGCATAGGAGAGAGAACCTTTGAGGGTTTGGTAAGACTGGAATATTTGAATTTGGAAAACAATAAGTTAAACGAACTGTCCGATTCTGTATTTGAGAGATCAAAATTGCAAATGTTGGAGAACATAAATTTGGCCTATAACAGTTTTCAATATGCTCCTCTCAAGGCTTTGCAAAGACAATATTTCTTTGTTTCTTCGGTGGATTTGAGTCACAACAAGATACGCGCTATACCCAATGATGACAGCATTATGGTGAATATTAAGAATTTAGATTTATCTTTTAATCCTTTATCAAAGGAAGCGGTAAAAAATATACTCAATGAACCAAAAACTGTAAGAGAATTGAATTTGGCGGGTTGTGGCATAGAAAGTTTGGAGGCCTTGGAAACACCATTCCTGCAGTATTTAAATTTGTCACAAAATAATTTACAAACCATACAACCCGATATCTTTCAACGCACTACCTCGTTAGAAACTTTAGACTTGGCCAACAATAAATTGGATAATTTAAACGAATTGGCCTCAGCCTGGCCTAGGTTACAGAATTTACAATATTTAGATTTGTCCAACAATAGTTTTGAAATGATCCAGCAAGGAGACTTTGAGAAATTAGATATGTTGCGCACTCTCAAGATAAAGGGACTTTCCTTGTGTAATCGCATAGAGAAAAATGCCTTTAAGCACACGCCCAATTTGGCTTCTCTGGAAGCTTATGATTTGCCTTTATTGGGTTATTTGGATTTGCAGGGTATATTAGAACTTTTGCCTGGTTTGGAAACTTTGGATATTGAAGTTAAAGATTCTACCATAGGCACTGAACAAATACAACCTGCGAAACATCCTAGACTAAAGGCTATAGGCATAAGAGGAGAACGTTTAAAATCTATATCCTCAGGCACTTTGGCGGGCCTTAAGTCCAGCGATTTGACCATCAAACTACAAAATACCTCTTTAACAGCCTTGCCTCCAGCCTTATTATTCCCAGTGCCCAGATCTTCCCACTTAACTTTAGATATTGAAGGCTCAAAAGTGGCGGTTTTGGTGCCGCAATTTCTTAATGCTTTAGAAGATCGTAGGTCCAGTTTGCAGCTCAAAGGTTTGTCTTCAAATCCCATACACTGTGATTGCAATGCCCGAGCCTTAAGAAGATGGCTGCCTAATTCACATATGACTGAATTAACCTGCCACTCACCGGCCTATTTGGCGGGTAAAAAACTTATCGAAGTGGGAGATGATGAGTTAACCTGTGATCCTCGTAAAATGACTTCGACTACTGCAAGAACTTCCTCAACAAATATTTTGAAATCATCTTCCCGACTAGTAACACGACCACCCACAACCACACCCGAAGAACCTCCCATGATAATATGGAGTATGGAGCCCACACAACCACCACCTATGAAAATTAAAACTAAAGCTCCGCTCATGAAAGCACCCATTATGACCAATGATGATACGCTTATTATTGGAATAGTAGGAGGAGTGGTAGCTTTTATAGCCATTCTCATAATAATCATCTGTATAGTACGCTTGCGCATGAGTAATGCTGAATACCACAATGCGCCCGCTATGATAGGAATACCACCCATGCCCATGGGACCGGGAAGTGTGCCCTTAAGTTATAAGGGACAACCTACAGCGGCCTTATATGCCGTGCCTCCCTATGCACAAAACTACGCCACATTGCCACACAAACCACCCTCCATACACCAGTCCACACAGAATCTTTCCGCTCGTGCAACACAACAACAGCAGCAACAACAGCAAGCCACATATTCCTCGAGAATGTCATATTTTGGAGGATCCACACCTCAACAGCAACAACAGGTAGCCTCAAATCTATCGCAAAATCAACCCTACATTATATATTCCGATGATAAAGCTTATAGATAAGTTTAAGCTTAAAAGCTTTTAAAAAGTTTAACGTTTCTTCTGAAACTTATGGGCGCTCAGTTAAAAATTTAAAGCGAAATTGGTTGCTTGCTACAACAGACAAAAATAAACCCCCATTTCAAACAGTCAGTTAAATAGGCGTAACATTTACGCCTTCTTTTAACATATCCCCCCCCACAATTTGAATAATTACAAAACAAAGAAAAGTTAAGAGGTTTTCAAAAACATCTTTAAACATTCGTTTAAGTTAACACGATTGATATATTAATCTAATAGATAAAGTCGTTTGTATATAATTTTAAGCTTTAGTAAATTATAAATCCAATAGTACTTTTAATTTTAAACTTTGATTTGTTAAACTGTCTAGTTAAAGGCACTTTCAGTTTCAAATCAATACATAATTTAGTCAACACCTTAAGTACGAGTTTCAAAAAGATACACTTAAGCAAAGTATTTTATTAAAATTTAAATTGGTTCTTAAATTATGTTTATTATTTTCGCCTTAGTACTTGGATTATTAATGACTAATATTTATATTTAAAATAATAATTTTTTTTTTAATTTTTAAAATCTATAAAATTTATTTTTAGTTATTATTAGATTTAAGTTTTTAAGTTCTTTTAAAATATTATTGAAAAATTAAACACACACACACACATTAAAGAAATATATTGTATAAATTAATTTAATCTTTATGGATTTATATGTGCAAATAATTAAGTACAATAAAATGAAAATTATTTTTAATAAAAGAAAATATGATCTGAAAATAGAAAAGTGTTCCTGGGTGTTTTTATTTTATGATAAAAAGGTAAAATTACTGAGAAATTATTAAAAGTTTAGTTTATTTTCAGTCTTTTTTGCAAAATTCTTTTCCGTTCGAAAGCGAATTTAGGTATCTTCTTTAAAAAATAAAACCGCTACTTTATTCGGTATAAAACGACTTTCGATTTTAAAAGTAAAATCAAAATTTGTAATTTGGATATTTCTCATGAATTATGAAAATTTTTCTTAGTCCGCACAAATTCTATAGGCATTGCAACCATTCTAATCGGAACTATTCCAATATGAATTATGCAACAAATATTTTATATGGTGAAATAAGACTAGTCTAAAGAATAGACTATAGACTAGACTAT